GCGTGTCTTCACAGGACAGCGACGCCAAGGGAAGACCCACTGGGTTTCCTCGGCGTCAACGGGGATGTAAGCAAGTTTGGATACGAAGCTGACTGCCCTAATCTTAAATATATTGTGTCTCGGATTAATTCCCTTTCTCCTGCAGCGTCGACATGGAGTTACATTGCCGATATCCCAAACAAGGAAAGTCTAGGATACCCTAAGAACAGCAAGGATCTCAAAAGTCCCAAAACAAGCGGGGAACAGACATCCTTATGCCTAAACAGTGTCTGAGAAGTATCAGCGGTCGACATCCTTCGATGAATGGAGTCAGGGAGTCTGTTAGGTCACATGGGAGTGGGGGGGGGGGGGTAGGAGTGAGGACGATTGAACAGGGTGAGATAAGGAGGACACGAATGTTGCGGAGGGAGAGTGAGAGAGAGAGAGAGAGAGAGAGAGAGAGAGAGAGAGAGAGAGAGAGAGAGAGAGAGAGAGAGAGAGAGAGAGAGAGAGAGAGAGAGAGAGAGAGGGAGAGAGAGAGAGAGAGAGAGAGAGAGAGAGAGAGAGAGAGAGAGAGAGAGAGAGAGAGAGAGAGAGAGGGGGGGGGGGGGGGAAACAGCACAAAGAGACACAGTAACGAGTCAGGGCAGGAGTCACGTGACGAAATCAATGATAACACCAGAGTGAGGCAGACGGCACCACCACACGCTGAGGCTGGGGAGGAGGAAGAGGAAGAGGAGGAGGAGGAGGAGGAGGAGGAGGAGGAGGAGGAGGAGGAGGAGGAGGAGGAGGAGGAGGAGAAGAAGAAGAAGGAGGAGGAAGAGGAGAAGGAAAAACCTGAAGGAAGTAGGGGAGTGGAAGGAAGAGAGTTATAGGAGGGGATGGACGAGACAGGAGAAGGAGAATGTGAGAGGAGGAGGAAGAGAAAGGGAATGAGGGCCAGCAGCGAGGACATACTGGATTCCGACAAAGGGGATATGGAGAGCAAGAGGCCATTACAATTGGGGACGAGAACAGGGAATAAAGGGATAGCAGATCGCAGAAAGGGGAAGAAAATAACGAAAGAAACAACAAATGGACAACGAATATAGAAAAGGAAAAGAAAAGATAAATTAACGAGAACAATCAAAGGACAGAAGACAGTGAGACGAGTGGCAAATAATCCGTATTCACGCACATCTTACATATCAAAACGTTCACGCTACTTTTAAATTTGCCGCCAATAACTTCATGGTTTCACAGATGATCAATAAACATATTTACTTGCAGTAAAACTTTGCTTCCAAATAGGACGAACACGATCATTTTTTTTCTCTATTGCCAACGAACATCAACCTATCCAAATTTTGTTTCCAATGTTTTCAAAACAATCAACACCAAACAACTCACATCAGTAAAGAAATAAAAAAAAACGAAACCGTGTACTACTCTAGTATAGTTTCCCCTCCGAAAGAACGTATTCTCTGAAGATCTCACGTCGAGCTGCCAGACCCATTTTCTGTGATACAATAAAAGGGGGTACTTACCTTCTGCTATAGGTGAGGTAGGGGAATCGGGCAGCAAAATGCCCTTTTGTACTAACTCTTCTTTGTTGACCCGCATCGAAATCTTTCGTTCCAAAGCTGAAAAATGGGAAAATTCAAAGAAATTAGTGATACATCCTAATGAAAAAGAGAAATCTGAAATTAATATGTAATTAGTCTTGATGTGAGTATTCTAAGTTACGACGCATACCTTAGGTTCAACGTTACTTAAACGAATCAGAGAACATCTGCAGTGGACGCCAAGCCATCTTCAAAAATGCAAATGAGATACTCTGGCTTCTTGCGATCATACCTTACTTAACCAAATTGAATTTCTCTCTCTCTCTCTCTCTCTCTCTCTCTCTCTCTCTCTCTCTCTCTCTCTCTCTCTCTCTCTCTCTCTCTCTCTCTCTCTCTCTCTGTCTCTCTCTCTCTCTCTCTCTCTCTCTCTCTCTCTCTCTCTCTCTCTCTCTCTCTCTCTCTCTCTCTCTCTCTCTCACTCCTTCTGTCCCTCTATCACTCTCACTCACTCACGTACTTACTCGCTCACTCACTCACTTTCTCACTCACTCACTCACTCACTCACTCACTCACTCACTCACTCACTCACTCACTCACTCACTCTCTCCCTCTCCCTCTATCTCTCCCTCTATCTCACTCCCACTCTTTTTTTTTATTTCCGACAATCCGCGTTTTCTTCTGCTCCCGTACGACTGACGGCGCGATCCCTCACCGCCCGCTCCGAGACTGCTTTCGTCTTTATCCCGTAATCTGTGTATGCCAACCCCGTCAGGGAATGGGCCATCTTTCTTTATCTTGATTATTTCATCTTATTATTCACCCGATTGTTTTTTTCGGATTATATCTACTTTCTCTCTCTCTCTCTCTTCCTCGTTCGCTCACCTCACCTTTTCTTAATAAGTGAGACGTGCTAAGAACCTTCTCTCTCTCTTTCTCTCTCTCTCTCTCTCTCTCTCTCTCTCTCTCTCTCTCTCTCTCTCTCTCTCTCTCTCTCTCTCTCTCTCTCTCTCTCTCTCTCTCCCGACCTGGCACTGCAACATGGCCCTAGTCACGGCACTCTCAATGCCATGCGTGCGTGCATTGCATCCCGGCGGCTGGTACTCAGAGGGGTGCCACAAGGACGAGTGGGGAGAGAGGGGGAGGGGGAGAGAGGGGTGTTCTGCGGAACGGAGAGAAAGAAAGAAAAAAATGAAGGATTTAATAAATGGGAGAGAGGGAAGGCAAAGGGTAAAGAGCATAGTAAAGAGGTGGGGACGAATAAGGTAAGGAGAAGGAAAAAGAAAAGGAGGAAAAGGGAAAAAAAAGGACGAGGACGAGGGAGAAGTGGAGGAGGTGGTAGCAAGAGGAGGAGGAGGAGGAGGAGAAGGAGGAAAAAGAGGAGGAGGTGGTAGCAAGAGGAGGAGGAGGAGGAGGAGGGAGGAGTCGAAGAAAGAGGAAGAGGAGGAGGCAGAAAAAAGGAGAAGAGAGATGGAGGGCTTCAATCCCAGCCCCTGTTTTCACCCGAGACGAAGAAATCCTCGTCACAGGCCAAAGTAGCCTCGATGATGAACTTCGAGGCTCAGCGACTCTCTTACCGCCGCCTATATTACTATTCCGTTCTCCTGCTCATCTGGATTCGTGTAAATGCGTAAACAATGGGCCCGTGTGTGTGGGGGGGGGGGGGGGGATGAGTGTTGTGGGTGTGTGAATGAGTGAGTGAGTGTTGTGAGTGAGTGAGTGAGCGAGTGAGTGCGTGAGCGAGCGAGCGAGTGACAGAGTGAGTGAGCGAGCGAGTGACAGCCAGAGTGAGTGAACGAGAGTGCACCCGAGCGCGCATGGCTGCATACCCGAGAGTGTCGACCAGCGCAGGACAGCGTCTACGGGCGAGTCCCTCTGCCTCCTATCATGAGCCTATCCCTCCTCTGCAGCAGGTTGTGTCACCATGCATGCAACATTCTGCTGCGCGCTGCCTTCACCAAAAATAGAATAATGCGGAGAAGCTATATTTCCGGATTCACTTGTGGGTCTTTTTTCTGCCTTTCCCTTTCCTTCTTCTTTTCTCCTTCTTTTCACTTTTATCTACATTTAGTTCTCGGTTTCTTTACCTTCTTATGTCTTCCCTCTATTCTAGTTCCCTTTCCTTTGATTCTCTTCTCCTTTTCTGTTCCTATCTTAATCCTTCATCGTCATCTCAACTTCCTCTTCTATTTTCCTTCTTCTTTGTCTTGTTTTTATTATTATTATTATTATTATTAATTCTACATCTTTTCTTCCTTCTATTCCTCCTCCCTCATTTATACACACTCTTCCTATCTCCCTATGCTTTATGCAAAACAATAACGAGTGTTATTCCTATCTCCTTGTGCTCTATGCAAAATAATAACGAACGTTGATGATAATAATAACAATAATACCAATAAAGACTAATAAACGTTAACAATAATAACTACAATAATAACCCTAGCAATACCAGCGCCGCACCGAGCACGCGACGCCGAGACCCCCCCCACTCTCACTCGCCTCGCTCCCTCGCCACTCTCACTCTCCCTCGCTGCTGCAACCGCACGCTAATGACATAAACACTAATATTCCGACGGGTAATTCGAAAGTCTTAACGCTTAACGATCCTTAATTAACGCACGCGCCATTACGTCCACTCAAAGCCTCTTACAACAGGCACCTACTCATCCAAAAGTCCAATTAGTCCATTCTTGTTTTAAACCTGACGGCGCACACGCAAATGAATGAATGAATGAGTGAGTGAGCACACCGCCTCTTGCTAATGCTGGCGGATTTTTGTTACATTATACATGTGTGCATCTGTGTAAATATCCATCTGTTGTAATATGGAGACGTACATGCAAATGTGCATCAATCTGTTGGTATAAATCTATCTTTTACGATACATATTTGTGTGTACATAAATGCATTATCTATCAGTCTACCTATTTATCTATCTATCACAATATACATATGTGTTGTGTATATGTTTATCAGTCTGTCTTTCTATCTAGCTATCCTGTCTGTCAGTCAATTCCAGGCAGTTTGTCAGTCTGCCTGTCTGACTCAGTCTGTCTGTCTATGTCTGTCCATCTATCTGTGTGTGTGTGTGCGTGTGTCTGTCTGTCTGCCGTCTAGCTATATGTCTGCCATCTATATATCAATCTATCTATCTATTTGTCTATCTATCTGTCTGCCATCTATCTATCTGTCTGGCTATCTGCCATCTATCTATCTATCTCCCCCACCCCCCCACACACAGTAAAAAAAACCGACAAAGCGCCGCCACGGCCTCCGCCGCAGCCTCCGCCGCCAACTACTCACATCTGGACGTGGCCTCGAACTTCTCGGATTTCTTTTTCCGCTTCCACTTCCAGGGCTTGAAGAGTCTGCCGAGGGCGGACAGCTTGCTGCTCTTGGAGCGCTCCGCCGGGGGGGTCCGCGCCCCCGTGCCTCCGGACACCGTTCGCACTGCACCATTGGTCTTGCCGCCCTTGGCTGCAACGGGGAGAGAAAACGATCATTAATAATGCATCCTGCAACGAATGTGCGCGTTCGTCGCGCCGTGATGGAAGGTGATTGATTGAAATGTGGTGGGCGAGATTTTTGGCGTGAGGACATTAACCATACTTATGATGATAATAGTGATATAAGCAACAATATTGATGAAGTCATACTGGTGTCAATGATAATACTGACAAGGTTATGATTTATGCTAGAAATAAGAACAATGAAAAGCACACGGGAACAGCGTCTAAAGCAATTACTGTAATAAGAAACACAGTCCAATGTTTCCTGATCATTAATGCTACACACCAACAAAAAAGTCATATCAATAAGCCCTTTCCTCTCTGCCAATTTTCTCCCTCCCACCGCCCCTCAGTTTTCCTTCTCCCCCCCCCCTCCCTTCTTCCTCGTTCGCTCACCTCAGACGTGCTAAGCACCTCTCTCTCTCTCTCTCTCTCTCTCTCTCTCTCTCTCTCTCTCTCTCTCTCTCTCTCTCTCTCTCTCTCTCTCTCTCTCTCTCTCACACACACACACACACACACACACATACAGACACACACACACGCGCGCGCGGCCAGAGTCTCAGCAAGAAAACAACAACATCCTCACTCATGTACACTCCTCCCCCTCCCCCTTTTCTCCTCCCTTTTTTCATTCACACAATCCATCCTGTTCTTCCCCATTCCCTCCTAATTTCCCAAGCACCCTCCCCCCCCTCCCAGCAATACCCACGAAAGGCCAGGCCGGTAGTACGCCCAGCGCGACGAGCGGTTTTACGTCACTCGCCGGAATCGCTCTAATGGATACCGAGCCAGCGGTGTCACGCGGCACCTCCGCTGGGAGACTGGCACTGTGACACCGGGCGCTCGACTCACAGTGGCACTTCGGCTGACAAGCGTCGCCTTGGATGCTGCCTCACTCGTTTGCGTAAATCTAAAATATGTTTAATTGTAATAACGATAACAACCCTATCTATAACCATAACAATAATAAAAAAAATAATAATAACAATAACAACTTTTCTTAAAAACAATATACTAATAACAGTGGTAATGATAATGATATTGACTAATAATAATAATAATAATAATAATAATAATAATAATACAAAATAGTACTAATGATAATATCAGTAACAACAACAATAAAACAACAACAAGAACAACAACGATATACAAGAACATCATAAAAAAAAACAATCATAAACAACAACAAACTAACACCACACCAGCCCAAACAAAACAAAGCAAAACAAAACCCAATTCCATATTCCCGGAACCCCGGAATCCCCTCAATTCCCAAGGAACTGAGCCGCTGTTTCCGAGAGCCGACGGCCGGGTCCAGCAAGGCCAGCGGAGTGTGTCGTGCGGTCAATAAGGCATCGGACACGCTCACGTTTTCCCTTGGCGACGGTCACCCGAGAGCCTTACGGGCGCGAGGAAATCTGTGCTACGTGTGTGCGGGAGGTCGTTGTGAAGGAGCTGTGAGCGCTCAGACAAGGAGGAATCAGCAGACACTTTTTTATGATTCATTTATCTGTCTCTCGCTCTCTTTCTCTTTTTTCTCTTTGTCTCTCTCTCTCTCTCTCTCTCTCTCTCTCTCTCTCTCTCTCTCTCTCTCTCTCTCTCTCTCTCTCTCTCTCCCTCTCTCTCTCTCTCTCTCTCCCTCTCTCTCTCTCTCTCTCTCTCTCTCTCTCTCCCTCTCTCTCTCCCTCTCTCTCTCTCTCTCTCTCTCTCTCTCTCTCTCTCTCTCTCTCTCTCTCTCTCTCTCTCTCTCTCTCTCTCTCTCTCTCTCTCTCCCTCTCTCTCCCTCTCTCTCCCTCTCTCTCCCTCTCTCTCCCTCTCTCTCCCTCCCTCTCTCTCTCTCTCTCTCTCTCTCTCTCTCTCTCTCTCCCTCTCTCTCTCTCTCTCTCTCTCTCTCTCTCTCTCTCTCTCTCTCTCTCTCTCTCTCTCTCTCTCTCTCTCTCCCTCTCGCCCTTTTTTCTCCTCTAGCGTCGAGAGAAGGGCGCGAGACGCACCAGCCGACCTGATTATGGCGCTTCTTCTTATATTTTTTCTTATTCTATCTACTGTACACGCTCGGATGGAAGCGTGGCCAGCTCCCACAGCAAGGGCAACATGGCTACAAGACAAAAGGGACATAAAAGCAGAAGCCAATATATAAAGTATTTCGAAGCAGAAACTCAAATAAACGTGAAATAAAAGGGAAAATCCGAAATGTTTCCAATTAGCAAATGTTACCGCTGATTTCGAGGGAAACAACCACACAATCAAATCAATCAATCGGGAGATACAAATAAAGACAAGGTACTGACAGGATACATTCTTTTCTTTTTTTGTGGGGGGGAGGGGGGGGCTATTCCTCTTTCTCTGTCTCTTTTCTTCCTTTTTCTTGCGCCCGGCATAATTCCCTTCTCGTACGGACGTCAGGCAGGATCTGGTCGCATTAGGAGAATTAGAAACACAAAAGCCCTCCGGCCCGACGAGAAATAACAATAAAAAGGAGCTCCTCATCTTCTGGGACGGACCAGCTGAACCCCAGCTGTGGGAGGGGGGGGGGGCGCAGACACAGACACAGACATAGACACAGACAGACGCAGGCACAGACACAAATACACATGGAGCTGGATTAGCAGTGGAAGTATTAACAAAACTTGCGAGGTCAACTGATAGTCCTTTAATGGTGGACTTTAAATTAATTAAAATAACAACAGCAAGAATATCAACAGTGTGCCTCTTAATATTAACACAAACAAAAGGAAAATAATAATAATAATAATAATAATAATAATAATAATAATAATAAATAAATAACAAAAAAACAATAAAATACCATCATTACTAAGATCATTAACCATAAATATGACCATCAACATTTCCTCATTTTCATTATCCCTTCCCTTCTGCCGTTACCATAACCCTCAAAATAACACCACTGGCAAAAAAACGACAGCCCTAAGAGCACAGCACAGACGTTATTAACAACGCTGATAAAAAAAACTAAGCATCGCCCATAAATCACGAGGTAATGGAAGCGAGAAAATTACAACGACGCAAGATCCGAAAAGCGGGCCACGGCTTACTGCCTCGCCGTTCCCCCCACCCCTCCCTCTTTCCCTCCTTTTTTCCTATCCCCTTCCTCCCCTGTCCTCCCATCTCTGACCCCTGATCCCTTAACCACTCCCTCGTCCCTCACACTGGCCTACCTATACCCCCTCCTTCCCAGCCACCTCCCTGTCTCCTGATCCTCCCCCCACCCCTTTATCTCCACTGTGTCACCCCCCCCTCCGCCCCATCCCTGCCCTGTCTACCCGCTCCTCCCTAAGCGGGGAAAGGAAGAAGGGGGAAAAAATATGGAGTAAGAGGACAGCAAGACGATGAGGAAAGGGAAGAAGATGATAAGGAGGAAACGACAAAAAAGACAAGAAAGAGGACAGGAAAGACGATAAGGAAAACGAAGAGGAAGACACGGAGGAAACGAGAGGAAACGAGAGGAATGACGAAGAAGATAAGAAAATTATCAAAAAAAAAAAAGAGAGAAAAAAAAAAAAAAAAACAGAGAAAGAGGAAGTAAAAGAAAGGGATTTTCCGGACACTCATGGCTCCCCAATAGACCTCCAATAGGGTATGTGAGGATTCGCGTGGGCTGTTTCTGTCTTGTCGCCCACCTTGGCCTACGCGGACCGAGGCGAGGCGAGGCGAGGAGCGGGGTCTCAAGAGTACGGGGATGGGGTGGGGGGGGGGGTGCGTTTAGTGGCGACATTAACAACTTTCGAGGAAAATGAAACCATACAAGAGAACTACCGTGAACGAACTCACACATACACACAAAACGAGAGAGAGAGAGAGAGAGAGAGAGAGAGAGAGAGAGAGAGAGAGAGAGAGAGAGAGAGAGAGAGAGAGAGAGAGAGAGAGAGAGAGAGAGAGAGTGATCGCGCGTAGGATATGCGCGAAAAGAAGGCGGAAAGTTACGCAAATCTGGCCCAGAATACAAGACAATGGGATCTGAGCCTTTTCACAGAGACAAAGCAGAATCGCATCAGGATCTCCATCTCCGTTTCATTATCAGCTCGCTCGTCCACAGTTTTTTTTCCCTTCTACTTTCCACTCCCCTTACGACACCGCTTCCGCGAAAGATGCATGCTAACAATGATAATGATGTAGATATCGAAGACGACGGCATAGCAACACTAATACAATCTTAGATGTATATATATTTACACACCTACACACATATTTATATAAACTGACACGCAAGCATGCACGCACACGCACGCACGCACGCGTGTGCACACACACACAAACAAACAAACAAACACACACGCGCGCGCCTGTATAAATTAAATCCCGACGCGCACTTCCTGATCTCCAGCGAACAGCCTGCAAGCAAGCAAGGTCCGACTGAGACTGACCTGGGAGACCCTCTGGGACCTTCAAAGGAATGGTCGAGTCCTTCGGCGCCCCCTGTTGCTCGTCGCAGCGCCCTTCTTTCTGATTCGCTCCTTCGCCTCCTGCGGTCGCCGGGTCTCCGGTGAGCGACTCTTGGGAGGGCGAGGGACCTAAGGGCGTCGAGGGCGCGAGCCTCCGTTTAATGTGGGCGTACTGATGAGCGGCCGGGGTTGGCGAGCCATGGTGGGCGGGCGGGCGGAGGGGGGCACGGCACAGGGGCGGCCTGGGGGGCGGCGGGAGCTTGGATCTTCTGGCGGCCTCGGGAATGGAGCGCCCCGGAGCCTCCGCCTGGGCTTGGGCAGTGGCTGAAGACGGCAATGGGAGGCGCCGGAGATTCGGACACGAGTGAGGGGAGCACGGGAGGCGAGGGAGGCTGGGGGCGTAGGAGTGGCTCCGCCTGGGGAGCGTCCTTCCCTCCGGCGGGAGTTTGGGCAAGAAAGGGGTCCGAGTGAGACGAGGCAGCGTTTGAGACCGAGGCAGGGGACACGCGGGCACGAGCCCCTGCCCCCCTCCGCCCTTCTCCGTCCGGGTCATCTCGATGTC